CCTTTCAAATTGATTACGTGGCCTATCGGCGTATGGCCACTTCAAGTTTATAACATTTATTCGCTATTGCGTTGTGCCTTAGGCACTTGTTGTGCGGTAAGTACCTTTGGAAACTCGAAGATCTCATTGATGCAATCGCGACCGTTCCAATATAATAAAGAATATTTTCTACATTGATATTGCAACGTTCTAAAGTACATTCTGGTATAGCAAATATGAGACTATGAGAATATAAAGATTTTACATTTCCCATTCTTGATAACGTATATGGTGTAACGCTTTTACCAGATGTAATAACACTTTAGATGAGTTATTAATCAATACGATTATAAGTCGTTGAAAAATTCTAAGAATAAGAAAGATTTGTTTTTAAAATTTTATGATTCATGTGTATGTTTTTTCTTAATCATGTGAAAAATGATACGATCCTTTTCGAGAAATATTATAGAAAGCATGCACTATACATTACTTATTTTATGATTCCATCATAACAATATGTGAAACAAAATAATTAATTCGTTAGGTTACAGAATGTCATAAAATAATAATTAGATAAATATAATTAACTTTTTGCTGTACTTTTTTATGTGTTTTGTATTTTGACGCGAAGAAATTTTCTATTTACACAAGTTTTGTTACACATTTATTATTTGGTAATTATTTACATTAACGGACACCTCACCAATGACGTTGACCTTGACATATGTTGTCAAAGACATGACCCTGAGTAACTTTTCCTTATAACTTAATCGGCGGTCACTGTTTATTAAAAAGTTATAAACAAAAGAAGTTTGAGAAATTTGCCACTTTGTGTCAGTGCTAAAGAAAGTAATTAATATATAACGCGATGCAAGATCCACCCCACAATTATTGTGTGGATGGGAAAGTGTATATGTGGACGCGTAAGATTCCGCCCCCTCTACGGGGGGGCTCCACTTCCGAAAGGTATAACCTAACCCAAACCAAAATCCAGTTTTAAATCAGAAATAGGTTTGGGTTAGGTTATATCTTCCGAAAGCGGAGCCCCCTTAGGGGGGGGGGGGGGGGGGGAAGGGGAACCNGGGGAGGGGGAAGCGGAACCCATTGCGCCCACGCATGCACTTTGCAAGACGAAGAATTTGAACAATTAAACCAGACTGATCAAAATACGCACATCATCATTTTTGCATTTAATTTTGTTCTTATCGTATAATTTGATTGTTAACTTTTTAATAAATAACGAGCGATGGCTAAAACCTTTTGGAGGTTACTCAGGGTCATGACCTTTACAACATATGCCAAGGTCAAGGTCGTTGGAGCTGGGTCCGTTATTATGCACTTTTACAAATTTCTCTAATAATCTTTCTCTATCTATTGTTTCAAATGCTCTGTTATAATACAATTATCTTCCAAATACGTTTTAATTTGCTTTTTAACTACTAATTCTAACACTTTTTCAAATATTGGTAACATATTTATAGGCCTAAATTCACTTGCTTTTCTAGCTTTCTCTACTTTTGGAATCGGTATTATTGTAGACGTTTTCCAACCTTATGGACAGCAACCTTCCTTCAAAAATTATTTATTATATCAACAAATTCCTCTTTTATAACGCAAAATACTGCCTTTAATATATCGCTAGTTATTCCCTCCTCTGTACCTTTCTTTTTCGGTAGTCCCATAACAATTTCCTGTAAATGCTCTATACCCAGCTAACCATTTGCTTGCGGATTGTTAACAAACGGCAAACAATCCTTAGAAATAAGATATATTTTTTTGAGCACAAAACATCATGTTTGGAGAAATGTATCAACAGAATCTAGCTGTGATCTTGCTTTCCATGGAGATATACATGGGCTGTACTGACATAGTGTAGAATGTTGACTCTTTGACGATTGCTCGGTGTGCTGAAGATCATATGGTTCCGCATTTATGCCAATAGTTTAATTGACGATTACGTCTCTGCTCTGAACAATTATCTGAAAATTGACAACACAAAAGAGCGCGACATTATGCGAAAACATACTTTCATAGGAAGGATTCTTTGCAGTCCCATACTGGCCTTTTCATACTTTAGTTGTATAATGTATGCTACAATTCCTTTTTTGGAGTACAATCAAGGTAATCGGAGTTACATAACGGATAAAGATATTATATTGAAGTACGCAATGCCATCCAAATGCGCTCTTGAATATTTTAATTTTCCGACAAGCATGTATAAAATCGCCTCTCTCGTCGAAACTCTTGGAATGATGCTAACAACTACAGCTAATCTGGGTAATATTTACCAAGATATTTTTTTGTGGGTATTTTGTGTCGTGTCCATATCACTTGGAAACAAGAAATTTTTATTGAAAAATATATTATTCTACATATTGTTACGTCCGGTGACACGATTACGATAACTACGGTCCCCTATTTGAAAGGTCGTTTCTGCAAGCATTTTTGAAGAGAAACACGAGAAAAACAGTAAAAAAATTTTCCGACCAATAGTTTTCGAGATATATCACTTTAAAGTATTGGACATGATAATAAAACGTTACAAAACTGACCCAATGACCTTGACCTGACATATGTTGTGAAGATTATTGTCGCGAGTATCTTCCATGTGTAGCTTAGAATCGTATGTACTACCAATGTCTTCCGTTGTTTACGTTTTTTCGAATCTAACCCAATTCATCTCCCACCCACACAACAATTGTGGGGTGGACCTCGCTTCGCGTTGTAAAGTACATGCGTGGACACAGTGGGTTACGTCCCCCCTACGAAGGGGCTCCACTTCCGAAAGATATAACCTAACCCAAACCTATTTCTGATTTAAAACTAAAATTTGGTTTGGGTTACGTTATACAACCCAAACCAAATTTTCGTTTCGAATTAAACTTTAATTTTAAGGCTCCTGAGTAGTCGCCGCGGCCATATTGGAATGATGACGTCAGAAGCGAGAAATGATACGCTGAGAATTCTTGCGTGCCATTTTTTAATGAAAAGATATTTTAAAGAAACAAGACTACAGATCGCTTTAGTATACTCGTAAAATTGTCCGAAAACTAAGCTTTTCCTTTGATAATTAATAAATAACCGTAAAATGAGTGTTAAAGTAAGCCTATTCATACGGGAAAACATGTAGTTTAACAGCTGTCGAAAGAAGTGGAAAATGTTCTTTTTACATAATACTTCTCTTGCTAAGCTTAGTTTTCGGACAATTTTATAAGTTTCACGAATTCGTTACACATCACAAAACTATGTTATGCCTCCGGAGAGGCACGGTAGTTAGGATTGTTTGCCGGAAGGAATTTGGGAATTCGGGCTCCGCCCGAGTAACTCACTGATTTTATTATAAATAAAAATGACACCTTTGTATTCGGAATAAATATATATATATCTGTTTTATTTGTAACTTGGCTTAATTACATAGTTCCCGCACGTCACTCGCGTCGCGTCACTTTTCACGCCTCATAGTTCATCGATTTGCAACGTGAGGCGCTGCATAAAAATTCTGACATGTGGGTAACATGCTGGTAACTTGTAACTAACATATAACATATATATAGTAAATATCTTTTATATATCTTTTATATAGTGTAGTACTCTATTAGAAGAAGCGCTTCGCTCGGTCAACGTTCGTAACGTGATCTGTATTCGCGTTACACGTCTTAAACGAGCAATGTCTTATCGTATAAAATAATATATCTCTAAAATAATATATATCTAGTAATTCGTATATAGCTTTTTCGGGCTATAACAACTAGCATAAAGCGAATAATTACGAAATGGCACGCAAGAATAATTTGGGCTGTCAAAACGTCACTTTTCACGCCTCATAGTT